AATATTTGCTTAATATAAAAGTTTTGCAGTTTGTATGCGCAAAATAGAATAACTTCGTCTTCGGAATTGCATGAAAGAATATAGGTGAACGTTTAAAAATGTATTTAGAAGCCTAGTAAAAAACATTTCGGTGAAAAAATATTGTTATGACCTGACGCAAGAAGCCGGTAAAAAAACTGTAATTTTTTAGCTTTTCTTCGTTTTTAACATAAACTCGTGAAGTCTCATCTTTGTTTCGATGTGCACTTAAATTGTGAAAAAGGATTTATTATTCTATTCAACTAAAAAAAAGATTTCAATGTGCAAAATAATAATTTTTGGTCGGTAAAACAGACGAGCTTTTGGATCCCCTTAAGAAAGATTTTTACTTGTATTTTATCGGTTTGAGAATAATTTTAATGGATTAATAAGATTTTGAATTAAAATGACATCAAAAACACGATATAAATAGGATAATTTTTACTTACAATTAGATAAGAAAAAAAATATTTTATCTATTTTTTAAATTTATATCTAATAGAAATTTATCAGAATAATGTTTTTTTTAGGTTATTTTATTTGCAAATTTCTTATTAATCAAGTAAAATTATATTACAAAAAAATATACAAACATACAAAATATAAGAAATATAAAAATTTTATAAATGTTTTATATATTCAATAAATACACTCCGTTAGACACTATTTTTCCGAAGCGTTTGGTGGACAAATGAGGGCGAAGAATCTTGTTCTTCAAGCGAAAATAGCGTTAAACAAAGCGTATCTATTGTTATGTTTATTTTCAAAAGATTTATATAGTATTAATTATCTTATCGTTTTAATTACTTATTCTTCTACATAAATAATGCTTATATAAATTTATATATAATAGCTTTTAACGTGCATCAGTACGCATTAGTGCTTCCAACTGAATTTATAAATTAAAAAATTACTTAAATAATATAATTAATAATAAATTATTAATTAATTATAAAAAGCTATATAAATTAAAAGCGTAATAATTTGATATTGCTTAAAATGCTTGATAATTTTATTTCAAAAATAAGAAAAAAGTAAAAGCAATTTATTGCATATATCTTCTACACGGTATATATTTAAAAATTAGGAAAAAATTATTAAGAACATTTATTTAAGAAAATTTATTTTATGTCACATGCGCATATACATAAAAATTCTTCACTAATAACTTATTATCGCTGTCCGTATAATATATACTAAAATCCGTAATATATACCAAAACATCACGCATAGCTAATAAAACATTAATAAATCTATTTTATAATATTTTTCCGCAATTTTGATCCACAATTATGAATCTAGCACACACACTAATCGGTTGTTTTACCATAGCACCGAAAAGTGAATCTCGCCATGTAGTTCTGGCTCTAAAATGGATCTAGTTGACGCTACTGTACCAGCTAGAAAGTGTCTTACGAAAGACGGCGATGTGACCCCTCAGATTTCTCGCTGCTCCTACTTTAGCGAATTTCTGCTGAGATAGCGATAATTGAACATGTTTCATTGAAATTCGGGAGCTGAATTCTCGATATATCAAAAGAATATGATTTGACAAGTGCTACGAAAATTGACAAATAAATTTGATAAATTTTGAAATAAGATATATACTGCAATATTTAACAATTATTCTAATTCCTATTAGCGATAAATATTTAATATTACCTTTCTCCTTATCAAAAATATATCCTAATTTAAAAAATTATAAATATAAAAAATATATTTTATTTTCCTAACATATATATATTAGATCATGAAAAGATAATGAAACTATCCCAATACATATTTCTTAAGTTATAAAATCAGAATGTTTATTTAATTAAAATTGTTATTGACATGCATATATAATGTTATTTCTTACAAAAGTATGTTCTATAATTTGTGTATAATTTTATGATTTACATTGTGGATTTAATTCACATAAATTATTCAGTTCTCTTTCCTTTTCTCTTGAGTTAATGAGTTTTATTCCAAATATATTGCACAAAAAAATATCAAAATGTTAATGTATGCAAAGCACAAGTTGAAATTGACAAACAAGATTTTCGTAACTATATAGTTATAGGCTATATAGTTATAGGCTAACTATATAGTTATAGACACATATTCCAAATAATAATTTAAAAATTTTAAAGAGTGACCAAGAAAAGCTGAAGCATTCACTTAATGATTTATAAAGATATTTTAACTAGACGACTCTTTACTCTGCTTTTGTTGAATCATTTCTCTGATTTCATTTTCGCTTTCCTTTAAACTTCGTTGCAAGTATATCTTATTATTTTCTAATGTCTTGATCTTTTCATCAGATGTTTTCATCCTGTTACTCAGATTGCTTTTAATGTTGTTCACATAATCTAGGAGAAACATTCGACCGACAGACTCGTATATCCTTGTGTCTTCCGGAAAACAGTTAATCTCTTTTGAAGTGAGTTCTGCTCGCTGTTTTGTACGTCGTAGCTTATCAATTTGAATATCAGCCAACTTTAACTTTTGCTTGGTATCCACCATCTTTTCGTGCAGTTTTGAAAAAGCTTGCTTCAATTCCTCATCCAATACCTTTGACATGTTCGCTTATTGTCTTTTCTGTAAGGAGAAAATTGTAAAAACAATATCACTCATAAATATATCTCTACAATGAGAGAATATTTGTATTCTATTATAAATTCTATTATAATTATCTCGTAATTTATTAATATTAAATCTTTTTTGTGTGCTAACGATTAAATATTACATCTTTATAAAAGATGTAACCTTTTATATATCTGACATATTTTTTACATATTATTTATAGGCGTGTCTCACACACAAAAAATTATCTGTAATTCGAGATATAAATCAAGTAAGGAATTCGGAAAGTTTTGAGATTCTTACTTCAGTTTCTTCCTACGGTAATATACGAACTTTCTATGAAATGTATTTATGACAATGTGTGTGATGTTCCTAAATCTTCCTAACCATATATATCCTATCCGCAAGCCGCAAGATTCTTTGTTGTGATTGGTCCATCAAACGCTTCGAAGCAAAAATGACATCAAGCGGAACGCACTTAATATAAGTGAGTTCCATATCAATATGAAGTGAGCTACAGATCTCGCAAAGCGCACCTAATATCACAGTTATATCAATATAACATCATATAACCTCAAAAATTTATAAACAAGAGGAAAAACTATTTAATTTTTTAAAATTTGAATAAATGCTATTTTAAAAATTTGAATTAAGTGAGTAATATATGTGAACTATTTGCTATTTATCTATTAACTAATATTATGTTTTAATGTATATTAGATGATTCAAGAACGGTGATGCGAAGAGTTTAAAGGAAAACTCGCTGTTTTTACGATAATAAACAATGGCATCGCCAACAACGTCATCGGGAAACCAAACATCGTGCGAGCCGTATCGGCTCACATATGCCAAGCCGTCCTTTGACAGTCACGAGATGGCCCTTGCGAGTCGCAAGGATCTATGGCACAAGTTTATTATTTTTGACGGCGCCCTGTATGGACGAACCGACATCCTGCGCGCTGTAATAACTGCCTGCGAACCAGCGGCCTTAGTACCGATTATGTACACCATCGAGGATAAAAAGAAAAGTAGTTTTCTGGCGAAATGCAGCAGCAATACCATAGAAAATATAATGAAGCAAGGGTTGTGCGTAACGTTGCCAGGTGGTCAAGAGTTGTACATGGACATTGTATTAGGATTTCTTAGTATGCAGGAGTTGCAAGTGAATACAAACAGAGTCATAGCGCAGGCCTTATATGCTAGATATGAACCAGTGAAGAAGATATTCAATCTGGACGACTTTGAAAATGAGAAGACACTGGGTTCGATATTCTGTCCCATTTCAATACCGAAAATTCTGGATATGGTCCTACGTTGTAGCAAAATGGGGATTATGGGCAACAGTCGCGAGTCCCAGCAGTCGCGATTACCCGTTCGCGAATTGAGTATGAAGTACAATAAGCTCACAGCTATCATTCTGTTTGACAAGTTCTTCAATTATCATCTGACTAAACTAGACTTGAGGCACAATCAGATTTTGGATGTGGAATATCTACGTTATTTTTGCGAGTTCAAAATAAGTGAACTTTGGTTGGATGGAAATCCATTATGCACAAAGTACACTAACTCTCAGGAGTATATACAGGCGGTGAAAAACGTTTTTCCACATTTACAGAAGTTAGATGGAGTTGTAATAGGAATGGAGAAGAAATTTGTGCCAAGCGTACAAAGTAATTATCTCGGTAATGGAACAAGAATATCTCTGATCAAGCAGTTTGTCAAGCATTTCTTCACGCTATACGACCAAGAAGATAGGATAGTTATGAATGGTCTATATGACAGAAACGCGTTCTATTCTATGACATTAGGTACTGTAACAAATCATGTACATAAAGAAATTGTCAAGGCATTTTCCACAAACAGAAACTTACTGAAATTTGTCGATTATGCTAAATGTAACGAATTTCTATTTTCGGGACCCGAAAAAATAATTAGTGCCTTACAACGACAGCCACCAACAACACACAACTTCAAAACATTTTATATTGACTTATTGCATGAAGAAGATAATTACATAGTCATTTCGGTGCAAGGATTATTTTCATATCGAGTATTACTCTGCCCACCTATGTTGTTCAACAGAACTTTTATCATCATAAAAAAAGAAGATAATGAATACTGTATTGTCAATGATCAATATTATGTTGATGGTACACCGGCCAATGCATTTAATGAAACAAAGTTTGAACAAAAACCCGCGCCTAAATTTACTCCAACAGTACTCAGTGTGTCAGAAAAAGAACAGCTGCTTAGATTTTTACGTGAGCTTACTACAATGAATATTCGATATTGTTATAAATATCTTCAAGATGCAAGCTGGGACATAAGAAATGCAATCACTACATTTATGAAGAATTATGCTGTTAATGATGTTCCTCCAGAAGCTTTTCAATAGATTTCAATGTATTCTAGAAGAATGTAATTTTGTGTAAATATATATGTACAATATATATTTTTTTAAGGAAAAAAATTGTTCAAAGTCTTGTTGTTTCAATTGTAAAAAAGGTTTTATGTTTAATATTTACACAAAGCTAACAAACTAACATTCTTTGATATTAACAACCTTGTTGTGTATTTAACAGAGCAATAGTTTTAGTGATATAAGGCATCGCATTGACATTAGAATTTACTCCCAACTCAAACACCCTCTGCATCAATGGTAAAGCGTGCTCTGCAATATAAAAGAAAATAAAAGAATTTATATGCTTATAACTATTGACATAAATCAATATCGAGACATGTAAATCCAACTTGTTACAATTTTACCTTGCATACACAATACAATATCTGGTAATTTTTCCAGAGCTGACATAAGAACGTCCGCTCTATCACTGTCTAAGCATCTTTGAAATGCGGATAATATAGTGGCATTCGGTGTAGGACGATGCTTCAATGCTCTAGCAAGTAGGGTATGAGCGAGCGTTCTGATATTGCTCTGAGGTGATACGAGAAGTTCCGCTATATTATCCGTTATTGGTTCCAAAACCGAAGGTTTTCGTGACGACACATGCTCGACTTCTTGAAGTGCATTGAATACATCTGTGTAGAATAGAAAATTTATTATTTAAGAATATTTTTCTCATTATATACCATCAAAGAGCTTATACCAAAACAGTCACTTAATAGTAAAAGATGTTTAATTCCTACTTCTCTGCTAACTTGCATAGATTAAAGAAAGAAATTTAAATGAAAATATAAACCTTCTTGTGATAAGAATAGATAAGTGATAATAGAGAATTGATTTTTCAAACAAGTAATATTAGAATCAAGCATAGATTTATCTGTTTTTCTACTACTACTATACCTAAATAAATTTCTTTTTCCTCTAAAGTTTTAATTTCAAAAATTACAATAAAAAAACGAAAATACATATTCAATGTAATTATTCTTTTGTACCTTCACCATACAATTTGCTGAGTGTACCCAATAGCGATTGCCAGTGTTCCGGAATAACGGGTTCTGTACGATGCGGCGCGGGAGCTATAGTGATTAAAATGTCATCCGCATCTTCTCCTTCCCTCGGCATCGGTATTCCTGATACGAGTATTCTCAAAGATTCCAAATTAGGATAATTTATCTGCAATTCACTGTACATACGTACATGTAAATTATATATATAAATAAATATATAAATAAATAATGTGTAAGTCACGTATAATATGTGCATTTTAACAGAAAGCAACATACTGCAGAATTTGTGCATGCTTGTGTAGATATTTCAATGCTCGTTGTGGATCATGTGATATGTATGACTGTAATAATATTACGAATCTGTTCAACAAGGAGCTGAGGTCTTTCACATGGCCGTAATTCTGAAAATGATATTGTATTGAAATTAGAATAATATATTTGAAGGATTTGAGTCAATAATCAAGAAAGCAAGATGCATTGTGCAAATTTTATAGTAACTAATAAAAATTGAATCATACATAGCATTTAAATAAATCATGCTAGACAATCAGTTTATTCTTTTGATTTTTTGTAGTTTTTGTAGATTACAATTAAATGCGATTTCTCCTCTTTTACTAATTTAAGATTACACCAATTGTAATACCTGAAAGCATTGGAAGTAATTTCCCAATGTGTTTTCCAAGGGAATTTTGTGCTGCTCGTTAAACAAATGTGGTTGCAACAGCTCCAGTAGCCCCATTACTTGAGTGAAGAGATTTAAATGGTGGCCGGATCTAAATTGACCGAAATCAAGATAACATCTTCCCATCAGGGAGGATGCCAACATCGGCAATTGTCGTAGCACTAGTATAGGATGTACCGCGGCCATTTTTCTCGCGCAGAGTTCAAATTCTTGGGACTTGGCGTTCCAGGATTTTTGCCTCGGGGTCGCCGCCAACGCAGTCAATAAACAATGGCTCATGCAATCGAGCACTGAGCCCGTCCAATCGGTTATCTTCGCTCCTTTGACGAATTTGTTCGCTTGGAAAGTGTCGAGATAGCAAATAACTTTCGGAATTTTCATATACATGTGTAGCAAAAACTGATGCGCCATATCCGCCGAGTCTAAGCTGAAAATTAAGTACAATCGCTTTATTTGGGTACATTAAATCGGTTGAACGATAAATCGCGTACTATAAAATATATAAGATGGCAAAATTCGTACTCCGTGTTGTCCATTATACGTTCCGCTAAGTAATTAACTACACTGGAGATCAAATCATCTTCAGTGGATATACAATGTAAAAGTAGATCGAGTCTGATGTCCATCCTCGCAAGAGCAGCGTTTCTGTTCTGCATGCTACAAATAATAACAGCTTCGGATACTAAATACGCCACAAGATTAAGCAGTTGCCACTTCTGCAGCAATAGAATATTCTCAGGAACGTAATGTTTCGGTGTAAATTTGTCCCGACCTTGCCATAGCTTGGGATTACATGTCAGCGCCCATAAAAAGTCCAGAACTGCGGTCGGATCGTATCTATAAATATAAGAAAATGTTGATGAAATAATATCATGATTAGGAGGAACATCGACAAAACGGGAAAAAGAGATTGTTCATCTCGGCTCTACTTACACGTTGTCATATTTGTCCAACAAGTGTCCGACACATTTATACAAAGTGGCCCAGCTTGCTCTGTGCGTCAACAACGTCAACAGATAAGGTCTACAGGAATGCGAGCTCACGACGTTCTTATCGATGTTAATATGCACTTTCGCCTTTCCAAACAGAAGCTTCATTTGAAGATTGGGACAAGTACCGATCAATTCGGGTTCCATGGAGGCCAACCAGTCGATCAACAAGCCCGTATGAGATTTCAACGCATCTTCATTACTATCGCTGACCAATAATTTCGCCATAGCTTCGACCAGGACGTCATTTTTCTGTTGTTTCAGACACAAATCCAGTAGTTTACGGCCGACGCTCTCCAAATTCACGGGATCGGTGTTCTCTAATATCGTGCCGGGACCTTCGCCGCGGCTTTGCATTAGCATTGATAGTTCCGCGCGTTGCGGCGTTTTCATTGATTGCACGTTAGCGAAGTCCCGCAGGATCGACAGAACCGGCGCCTTCACGTCACCTATCAGCGATATCAGATTCAGACACATGTTGCGCGCCAATTCGACCACATGCTTCGATGTCGACGGTCTCTTTAGCGGTAGCAGTATCACGCGCATCAGCGTACATGAGTATTGCGGCATGTGTACGAGCGAGGCCAGGAATTGTTTGACCTGCATAGAGCTCAGAACACTGCATATGTGCTGTATCGCCAGTACTACGGCGCCACTTTCCTTCACGCTCGATCTTTGCAGATCCTTTGCTAGAGTCTTGTGCAAACGTCGATACGCGTCCATTTTTTGATTCATCGGAATATTCTCGATAAACAGTCGGTTTATCAAGTGGGGCACGTCGGTCTTCACAGAGCACTGTATAACGGATTGTTTCTGCACCATGGCGCTAGCTGGCAACGGTTGCTGCAGCCTATTGATGGGCGCGACGTTCTCATCCGGTAATTGCGGCTCCAGCAATTGTAATACTTGCACGAATACTAATCCGCCCGTGGCGCCTCTTCGATGTTGTACCTCGACCAATTGTGCCATATACGTTTTATCCAACACCGCCTCGCCGACCGAGCTCGGATCTATCTGAACACCAGCATCAAGAGTGTGAAGCAATTTGCTCATTGACGATACGGGTATTCCGAAGCTTTGAATGAAAAGTACTAGCTGCTGTGGCTCGAGATCTTTCAGTGCAGCATCGACTAGACGCGGCACGTTGCTCCTGATCATTCGTAACTTGAGCCAATCAGGTATGAGTAACGCTTCCTCGCTAGTGTCGACAAGGAAGGCCTTTGGCTGCTCCGTCAGTGGAAACCACGTCTCCAATAAGCTGTTGAATAATGGATCGTGCTCGGACGTGTCATATGTCAATAGTATGATCATGGCGTGTACCACTAGAATATGCATAGTGCACTCTTCGCCGTTGCTCCATTGCACCAAAATCTGATCCTGACTCTCGGACCACTGGTAATCCTCTCCCCTAGGCGATCGCGCTTTTTCAAGATAGTTGCAGAAGATCGCCATAAAGGCGTGTAACGTTTGTTTAGCCTGTCGATTATCGCTCTCGGGTTGAGGCAATATTGCCGCAATGATGGTACTACGCTCAACGACCAATTGAGATATTTCGTTCGCCAAATCGGTTAAATCGGGCAAATCGTCGTCGACAGTATGCGCGGCAAGATACGATATGTATGTGTGCACAAGGTCGGGGCTGTTTTCGACTTGACAAGCGCCACGCAGCGCCGTGGAAACCAGCGAACGTACCGATAGGAAATGAGGTATAGACGGTAATTTTCGTAAAAGCCACATCTCCCTGAAAAAGACAAAGTGTTAAAATCAATTTCTTTTTTCCAGAATATACATTTAAGTATTTACTTTTCGTTTTCCCCTTCTATATCCATGCTCTCGTCCTCGAAAGGTATCGAATCCAGAATCATCTTTAATCCGGTAATCGCTTGGACACGGCTACTACTTTGCTGGCTGCTCAATCTTCTCAAGAAATATTCCAAAACTTCGTAAGCATGTTGCTGATCTTGATTAGGATCAGTCAGCAGTGTCTGAAGATGCGTTAGCAATTGCTGTTGTCTGGACTGCTTCTCAACCGTTTGCGAACTAGTCGATAATAGATATTCGCAGAGACATTGCACCGGCAATTGACTCAGAGAGCCTTCACTGTTTTGCACTAGATCCGCTAACCATGGCATACTCTGCGACGTACTCTGCTGTTGTCTTTGAATAATATCCAGCAGAAAATCCGGTTTACGCGATCGACAAAGCAGGTGACCCAATCTGTGTGATGTATTCAACGATTGTATCTGTTCGAGAACGGCCGGGGGCGGTCTCCTAGCAATTCCTGTCGGATCCATAGTGATCAATTGTGAGAGAAGGAAACTATTCTGTTCGGATAACTGGATTCTACTCGATGCCGCGGCCAAATGTGATTCGTATTCCAATATCTCTTGCTTCTCGATAGCTTCGACTTGCAGTTCCTTTGCGCGCTCTTGCTCCATGATCTCTGGCAAGGTCATAGTCGGTGGTGGATGCGAAAAATGACTACGAAAGCGCGTATTTCATTAGAACACAATTGAAAACTACTTGTTCGGGAAAAATAATTAATTCCAAATAGGTTTAAAAATTGTTAAACTCACTTTGTGATACACATTTCCATCAATGTTCTCAATATAGGATATCGTTTCCATGCTAGTGCACCAATTGTGGATGGATTATGAGCAGCCAAAATTAATAACATTATCCATCCTTTCCAGTAGAGATTGGCTATCGCCAATGTCGGTGGTACATATCTATAAAGCAAATGTATATCATGTAGGATACGATTGTAACATATGAGATAAGCCATATATGTAGCATGTTTACCCAGCAGGTATATTTATTGTCCCTGGTGGTTGATAAATGCAGAGATTAAAAATAAGTTCAATTATGTCCATTTTGTCGGTTTGTAACATTGGAAAATTTTCTGTCGAATTAGCCGCCGCTCGCCGTATCAATTGATCTGTCAAATCCAACGTCTCCGAATGAGTAATGCCATTGTCCTATATAAATACAAGTAGAATAAAGACTCCCTGTCTCTCTCTCTCTAAACGAAGATTCGTTTCACAAATAAGTAAATTTAAGAACTTACCTTTGAAAAACCGATAACTAGTAGCCTTAATAATGTACTTTGCAACAGAGGAACGTCAGATACTAATCGTATATAAAACACTCTGTCCGACTCTGGTGGCCAATTGTCCAGTTTATAATACTGCTCGGGAGATTCTAGAAGTAAAATCTTATGCATCGCGTGCAGCAGCTCATTTCGTCCTATGGCGTATGTCTGCTGCGCCAAATTCTGCAGCCATAATATAGCCTCGTACTGTATCATGGCTACGAGATTTTGGAATTGATGCAGAAGAGCTACATCTTTCTTATCCGCGCGCTGCGACAGCGTCGCCGCTTCTTTCACTTGTGGACTTATAGCCAAGAGCATACATAGGCAAAGCAGATCCGCTATCGACATGAACATGCGATCTTTAAACTCGAAATTCAGCAATTGTTGAGCTATGTCCGGTCTCTCGGTCATCAATGTTCGAGCAAAAGCGATCAGATTGATGTCATGTCGACATACACGTACGATTTCCCTAAGTAATGCACGTAATGGCCTTAAATAATCCTCGCGGTTCATTAACAAATCCTGAAAGATCTCCGCGAGCAGTTTCGCCGCTTGTTCAGGTAAAGTCTGGAACATTATAGCCAACATGGGCATGTTGTTTGGATTGCGTGCGTTTGACAATTCGTTGTACATTGTGTGCTTCAATATAGTAGCTAAATTCTCTGGATGTAATCCAATAAGTTCTTTGACGCCGTTCAAATACAAATTAATTACAGCTTTCGTTTTCAATCTCATCTTCACCAGTTGACTTATGACTTCGACATCTCTTTGAGTGTGAGATGTACAATTGTAACAAATATAAATAAGTAGCTCCTGTGCCGATCTCATTAGTTTAGGATTATGTAGCCACACTTCTAGTCTGGGAACAGCAATGTTTCTGATCTCAACAAAACCGCACGCCGAGGAGAGCAACTTCAAGAAATTTCTCGTTATGGTCTCGGCCTGACGTCTGTTCAATTGTTCCTTTACAGCTTCCAACACTATCGATTCTATGTTTTCCACGCAATGCGCATATCGTGGACCCACCGGAAATTCTATTTTCTCTTTATCTCCGGACAGTGACATCGTTGACGCTGCCGGATCTTCGTCATCTACTGTAGACGGGCTATGACAATCTCGCGGCATTAGTACAGGAAATTCTGGCTGTAACACAGACTTAGGTGGATGCCTCGTGTTAAAACCAGTCAGTATATTATCGACAAAGCCTTTGCATTCCTCATGATCGACCCATACACGCTCACCAAGAGCATCCTCAATGTACAACTGCAAAAAAAAATAAATCAAGTTAATGATAATGATAATGATAAAACTATGCAGTAAGCAATACAAAAGATAGTATATGAATAAACCTTCACAAATACGTCCGGCCAGTTCTTTTTCTCATGAAATCCTCTCATTAAGAGATTTGCAGCGAGTACTGGAACTAGTGGATTTCCTTTACTCTTGAAGTTGTAAGTCTGATCCCTCTTTAAAAGAGATGACAATGCATGTAATATGCAATCATTTGAGAAAATGGATGGGCGGATTTTTGCTAGATATAATAAGCCCATGTAAATTAATGTATCAGGCTTCCATTTTTGATTCTTTAATGTCTTAACAGCGCCACATATTATTCCAATAACTTTATCAGCTTCGTCATTGTCATTAGCTTCGAGTGCCATAGGTACAAAATCTGCAGGATCAGTATCTATAGCTAAAACTTCCCATGCTTCTGCACTAGAAGAAGGCCGTTGATGGGAACCAACGTGGGTCAACTTGGGCTTCTTTTGCGGAACATAAGGAAATGACTGGAGTGATCCAGAAGATGCTTCTTTTTTCCGATCATTACCTATATAATTGTTTACAATAATCAATAATTTGCACAGCATTATCATAAATAATAATCAAAGATTATTCACTTGAAAAAAGAATAAATTATATACCAGAAGTCGTGGAACTGCCACTTGGTTTTGGATGAATAACACCTGGTCTGGTTTTAGAGTCAGAATTTTCATTTCGCGAACTCTTTGATCCCAGTGCGAATAGATCGGAAGGATGTTGAGCAATCTTACTTTTCACTGCTCTACCAATACCAGTTTTTCCACGTTCCATGATTAATATATTTCCTTTGAATGGCTATATGAATAAAGTATAACAGATTAATAGAAGATTTTTGTATAGAAATTGTTATATAGAATTGTTATAAACTTGTCTTTTAAATGTAATAATTTTATCATGAATATTATTAAGAAAGAAATGTGCTTATATAGGTATGCTGTAGTATATTGAAAATGTAAATAAAGCTGTAAATTCTAACCTAATCTTTTCAATATACATAAAAAGCTGTCTTCTCGAAACAGACTTCGCTTTACATTTGCATAATCGAAAACGAGATTAAACTAGGATGATGACATATCTTGAGATTCTTCTGATTAGACGTCTGTCATTTCAATCGAATAAATGACCTCATATGTAAAGCCATTCTCCTTCTACGATTTGAACTGACATCGACAGTGATGTACAACGCAGTGATGTCAGAGACCAAACCTCATAGGATGTGTTCAAAAATCCTACTCGTACGGTGACGTAATATTTAATTGACCAATCAGGACAAAGGAAGCTTTACTCCTTTTGTTTTAATTGGTCAATTAAATACCCAAGGGTAAGATGTTTGAACGCACCCCTGCTATATTAAACATGACATCCACTCCACACATTTAAAATACATAACACATATGTATGCACATATATATATGTATATTTACTTTATCGACATTGCGAAATATACCGAAATGGATCTTGTTGCGTGGTATCAAAAAGTGAATATATATTTATATTAGAATTAAAAATCCTATAATGTATGATTATAATTATATGCAAAATATATATATATAGAGTTTTCGTTAAATTTAATTTTCAGGGAGAAAATTAAAAACGCAATATACATGTTATGTCGTGGACGCGACCACTTGTCCTCTCTCGCGCATGACCGTAGACAGCTTTACCACATCAATATCAAAGGTGCACAGCAGAGACGGATTCTATTATAGTGTGTATGATTAGAATCTGTTGATTTCCATCAAGAAATGTCCATGATGGTGAGTACAAGCCGCGAAAACGGGTCGACGACTGCAATTTTGCTTCGAATATGCCTCGCTGCATAAATGGATCTTCGAATTTTCGCAAGACAAGAATGTTTTTTTACAAATTGCAAGCTTCTGCTTTTTTGCTCCCTCCCCTGTCATGTCAAAATCTCAATACTTTCCTTTGCAAAGGTGCGTCGCATTTCTCGCATAAAATATGAGAAAATATAATTTTTTACTCTTTCAGCGGATGAAAGCAGTGAGATGTCCTACAGATGAGCTCAGTCTCTCCAATTGTGCAATTATCAATGCTGATGATTTTCCGGGCGATGTTAGGTAAGAATTTATCAAAATATGATCATCTTTTCAAAGCCCAATAGAAATTCAATACAATTGTGTATTTATATTAGTTTAATCCGTATCTTTTAATGCATATTTATATTATATCTGTGTTTATGGCTTACATGATAAATAAATAATAATTTAAATTTAACAATTTCATTTTTATTCTAATTTCTTCAAATTTATATAAATTTATAGATTCTGATTTTCCCTCTTTTTCTTTTTCTCTTTGTCTTTACTGATATATATATTTTTTTGTTTGTTGCAGGCATATTGAAGTAACTACAGCACCAAATTATCATTTTGTGTTTACTGTGAGAACGCATCATGAGATTCCACGTGGTACAATCGGTTTTAGTTTGCCTCAACGGAAATGGGCAACATTGTCTCTCAATCAAGATATTGAGGTTCGACCATATCATTTTGATCCAACTTCTAACACAGAATGTTTATGCAACATTGTTTTGGAAGCTGACTTCTTGCAGAAAAAAACGTATGATTATTAAATGGCTTGCATTATAATTAGAGATCTTTTTTTTTTACTATCATTTACAAAATATTTTTTAAATAATTCTGAATGTCTTATTTATTTAAAAGTTTATATGTAGACATTATATATATATGAGCTTAAATCTGAGTGCCATAAATAGATCTCCCATTGGATGGAGAACTTTTTTCTTATATATATTGAAGGCTCTTTATCTTCATACCATAATTATTATGATTATTACATTTATATATTCTTTCAGTGTTACTTTGGAGCCATATAATACAGATGAAATGGCCAAGGAATTTCTACTACAATTTTCAGGCCAGGCATTCACCGTGAGTCAGCAGCTGGCATTTCAGTTTAAAGATAAGAAATTGCTTGGATTAGTTGTCAAAAGTTTGGAAGCTGCTGATTTATCGGCCATCAGCTCAGGCCAAAGTACAATGCCCAGAAAGACCAAAATGGGTCGTTGCTTAGGTGACACCATAATACAATTTGAAAAAGCAGAAAACTCAAGCCTAAATCTTGTTGGACAAGCTAAAGGAAAAGCTATTCGACAGACCATTATTAATCCAGACTGGGACTTCCAGAAAATGGGTATTGGTGGTTTGGATAAGGAATTCAGTGCCATTTTCAGAAGAGCATTTGCATCTCGCGTTTTTCCAACGGAGATTGTCACTCAACTGGGTTGCAAACATGTAAAAGGAATTTTGCTGTATGGACCACCTGGTACAGGAAAAACGTTAATGGCTCGACAAATAGGAACAATGTTAAATGCAAGAAAACCAAAGATTGTAAATGGCCCACAAATTTTGGATAAATATGTTGGAGAAAGTGAAGCTAATGTCAGAAGATTGTTTGCTGATGCAGAAGAGGAAGAAAAGAGGGTGAGTAATTTACAAAATCTATTTGTACATAATATATATATATTTAAATTAAAATATTTATATGTAACTTTCCTTATGGAAAGAAAACCACAAAGAAATTTTATCTAAATGAGGATATTCAAGCCAATATGAATTCTTAAGCACTGATGTATTTGTGGGATAATATACTTAACTGGCTGTGGAAGACTGAATAAACATTAAACTAGTTTTATTACTGACAGAGGATTTTATGAAGAGTGGTATATTTTAAATATTTTATTACACAAATATTAGTGCTTAAAGATACTGGTTTGAATATCTTTACTTTCATCTTTCTAAAAAATGAATTAATCTTTGCTATACATTTTATTTAAGAAATTTTATATGTTTTTAGCTTGGTCCAAATAGTGGGCTTCACATAATCATATTTGATGAAATAGATGCCATCTGTAAATCTCGAGGTAGTGTTGCTGGAAATACAGGTGTTCATGACACAGTGGTAAATCAGCTACTTGCAAAGATTGATGGCGTTGAACAATTAAATAACATTCTTGTTATTGGTATGACCAATAGAAGGGACATGATCGACGAAGCCTTGTTAAGACCTGGCCGATTGGAGGTAAAACTAAGTTTATTAATAATAAGTTGTTAAAACTGAGTATATATTGAATGACTGCAAATTTTTATTATTAACATTTGAAAGAAATATATGATACATCATACAAATAGAATGCGTAATTCGATTTGATTATAAGGCAAGATGTTATAAAACGTTTTAGATGAATTTGATTTCGTATTCTATATTCTTTATTCATTTGCTCATATAATTATTTTAATATGATAATATTTGCTGTTATTTCACACTCTAAATAGGTCTTGATTTTCTATGGTTAAAGCTGCAAATGGAGATCAGCTTGCCAGACGAACATGGGCGATACCAGATTCTTAATATTCACACATCCCGAATGAGAGATTACAAAAAGATAGCGCCTGATGTAGATCTGAAAGAGTTAGCTTCCCAAACTAAGAATTTTAGTGGGGCAGAATTAGAGGGTCTAGTCAGAGCTGCACAGAGCACTGCTATGAATCGGTTAATAAAAGCCGCCAGCAAGGTAGAGGTTGATCCATCCGCGATGGAGAAGCTTATGGTCTCTAGAAGCGATTTTTTACATGCACTAGAGCATGATATTAAACCGGTAAGTCACAGGCAAAGGCATTCATACATGCATGCGGATAAATGGAATCCTGAGATCTTTCATTTACCAGGCAGCTGCTATTATTATTCAGTTATTATACATACTATACTATATATATAATACTCTCTTATATATTTCTAATGGCTGAACATTGTGTTTTTATAGTTTTTACAATAGATAGACATTTTATTACTATTATTTTAATTTATGTTATTATTTTTTAAATATATACATAGCATCATTATATTAATTAATTCGGAAAATATATAATTAATAAAAATATATAATTATGTATCTATATAATAATGAGGATATATTTATATATCTTTTAAGCAATTTGGTACAAGCGAGGAAATACTGAGTCAATTATTAATACGAGGAATTATTAATTGGGGAAGGCCAGTGGCTGAAATCCTTGCCGATGGCACTCTATGCATTCAACAAGCTCGAGCGGCTGAAGGATCTGGTCTGGTATCTGTTCTCTTGGAAGGACCACCAAATAGTGGAAAGACAGCGCTTGCCGCGCAAATTGCGAAGAATTCAGACTTTCCATTTATTAAAGTTTGTACACCTGAGGACATGGTTGGTTTTGTTGAATCTGCAAAATGTCTTTCTATACGGAAGGTAATCACAACTCGCCGTTTACATTACTTACACCTTACAGATATTGCAAATTTATTTAAAAATCAATACTTTTTTTTTTTATTATATTTGATTAATTTGGAATAATCGCTTATCATCTATGTATTTATATATTTCAGGTATTCGATGATGCATATCGTTCGCAACTTAGCTGTATTTTAGTTGATAATATAGAACGTCTACTAGATTATGGCTCAATTGGACCAAGATATTCTAATCTGACATTGCAAGCACTTTTGGTGCTGTTAAAAAAATCGCCGCCGCCTGGCCGTAAACTATTAATTCTATGCACCTCTAGTCGCAGGTAGAATAAGGATTTTCTTTTCCTTTAGTTAAACAAAACAGTAATAATATAATAAAATATTATTTTCCGAACAATATATTTTTTTTTGCAGACAAGTTTTAGACGATTTCGAAATACTCTCGGCATTTAATACCGTTCTTCATGTGCCTAATTTGTCAACCGCTGATAATCTGTTAAATGTATTGGAAGAACTTGATCTCTTTTCAAAACATGAAATGGCTTCTTTACATGCAAAGCTTCAAGGAAAACGGTAAAATATTAATCATTTTATATTTTAATAACTTTACTCAGACAATATATGTGATATTAGCTAATATATAAGAATGTATAAGGATATTATATATATATATATATATATATATATGTTATAGATAAAAGTGTTTTGTCACAGATGTCTCATCATTAAATCACAAAATTAATCTAATATTCAACTTAATTTATAATTTCAGCATATTTATTGGTATTAAGAAACTACTCTACCTGACAGATATGGCACGTCAAGTAGAACCAAATTACAGAGTTGCGAAATTCTTATCTAAATTAGAAGAAGAAGGCGGCCTAGAGTAAGAAGCTTTATTTCAATTTAGGATGTGTGAGCTTTAGAAACATAGATAAAGTGCAAGCGCTTCTGAGCGTTCATTTGTTTTATGTTTAGCGCGCTTGGACCGAAGCGACTTCGATTATATAAACGTATCTTTAGATTGTAGTAAGTTATGTAGAAATAATTTAGAGTAAAAGAAATATTTATATGTAAGCAATGACACACATCTAGATTCCCTGTGTCACAATAAGTTCCCATAACAGGTAAAAAATAGATGATAACAGCTTGCATTATGATGCATATTTGAAAACGCGAATTAACTTCATATTCTCAAATACAAATGCATAAATGATACGTAAATATTATTACAATTTTAGAAATGATTATCACAGCAATTCATATATATAATATTTTCAATGTTGTAATAACTGGTTTAATATAATCTCAATTTAACTTCAAATTTTGACTAATCCTAGAAAATTCACGAAAAAGTAAGTTTTTTTATATCTTTTAAGGACTTGACCGAAATTAATTTGTCAAGCTGGGAAGTAAGAATTTGCCATAACTTAAACGAATATTTGATTGATGCATAATAATGTACAATTATTGTATAGTTACTATGAAAATATGTAAAAAAGATGGAAATATTTGAAATAACACATGGAATACCTGATTTTAATATAAGTATCGCCTGTTGCATTCAATATCAGGTGCATTTCTTCTTTACCACTTATTATGTATCTTCAATACATAATTATATTGGTAAGATATCTATATTGAAAAAAAATGTATAAGTAGTATTTATATATACACTGTTGAATAATTAAGTTTCGAGACTCGCTTCGCATTTCCAAACGTTTGATTCGTTAGTGCTGCCATTTTAGAGGGTTATTCACAATTCACTACTCAACACGTGGTGCAAGTTCTAAATTATTTGGTTCAATAGCTAATGAGATACAGTTACGCAAAGTTGGTATTACAAAATTTTGTTTAAAAATCGGTGTAATATGGAAGGCACGTTTGACAACGCGCCAAAATTAAATTCTGCGTTAAATTAGAGAAATCGTTAATAGAAACGTTACAAATAATTTAACAAACCTACGGAGAGTCAGCTGTGCATAAAAGTAATGTTTTGAAGATACAGATGACATAAAAAAAAACGTGAATCAAATTTTGAAAGGGCTTGCTTTAAAGGACTATCTGCTTTGAGCAATAGTGGAAACGTTGAACTAAGTGTGTCAAGTTAGATGGTGACTACATTGAAACTTTTTAACTATCTAAAATTTATTATACGATTAAAAATAAATTTTTCATACGAAAGTCTCGAAACTTAATTGTTCCACAGTGTATATGTGTATATATATATATAAGCTACTGTAGAGTTGCATCAATGACAATTATTGCAAATATTCAAGGTTTAGAAAATGATTCTTCAGCTTTCTAAGCTTATAATCTTAATTATATCATCGAGAAAGAGAAGATTTCTATAATCAATATTAGCACAGGATTGCGAAAAACAGCTATAAGTTAATAATGAGCTATATGCATTCCTATATATATATAGCTTGTATACTACATTATATATATTTATTCCGGCACAGAGATATTTTTCAGAGAAAACAATATCTTGAATATACACTGATTGTGATTCTAGAACAGTGCTTCCCGCTCAGGGTATTACGACAAATTTACCACTTTGTTATAGAAATAAGAAAAACATATAATATTTATAAAAATACATTTATTCCAGCAATAGTTTATTAACGCAATAATTATTGGCATGCTAAGTATATTAAATACATATATAATTAACAGAGGTTATATATGTACTACATTAAGTACATATATAATTATGTATAAGGATTTGTTCCTTATAGCTGAACTGGCTGCACTGGTTCAGAGTTTACCTTTTTCTTTCCATATTGAAAGAAGAAAAATAAGCTCTAATGCAACCAGTTCAGCTATAAAAAACAGACTCTAAGTGAAATATTTAATTGATTTTTCGATTTATATAAAATCTTTTGCGTATATGTATATGTTTCAACATGTAGATACAATTGTGTGTGTATATATATATATATATATATATATATACAAGAAATGTTTTGTTTCACAAATAATACAAGGAAATAAAATAAGAAGAAAATATTGAAAAATTTTGAGAAAATAAAATTTATAAAAGCAAGACTTCCTGGAGGAGTTGTTAATGTTTTCGATTTTTTTGTATTTGTGTTAATGAAAGAGATATATTTTTTTTTTAATGTTGGGGAATACTGTTCTAGTTTATAGTTGAGAAAGAATTTTTTGTAAGAATATGACAGATTGACTTGTGTCCATAAGAAGGTGAATAGAGATGTTGTGGTATCACATTTTTAATTATTGAATATAGCAATAACATAAACATATATAAAAAAATATATCTGTTATATTCTCATATGCTGTACATTGTTGAGTACATCTGTACAAGTGTACATGTATATTATAACAATATATAATGGTGCACATGTTGATTCGATATTTGTCACTGTATCTAATAGAGAAATTGATTATAATAGGATATTCATAAGGAGAGCCGAGAATTAATCAATATCTAATAATAATCTCTATTATCCTCGACACATACCAACAAACAAAAGAGCATTCCAATTACCACTGATATATTTATTCTGTTATCAGGTAATTACAACGATAACAAAAAAGTGCATTGTATTCATTTATGTAAATTTTATTTTTAATACTGGAATTAAAATAAGTTAATAGTTATATAATTTATTATTAGAATATATAAGTATTATTCTGTGTGAATTATGAATAAAATGTAATATATAAGTTTATTGATTTTTTTGTGTACAAAAGAAAGTTGTACTAGCTTGAAGAACCGCTCAAGCTAATTATATGCGTTATACATGTATTGAGAGAAAGAAATGAATTGTATGTATTGCAATTGTATTGTATAAGAAAATGTTGCTTGTGCAATATTCCTCTTACTGTAATATAATCATCTACTTGTCTGTATTTATCAATGTGATCTGTTATCAATGCAAGAGAGAAATAAAATCACTTACAAATATATATATATATATATATATATACAAGAAATGTTTTGTTTCACAAATAATACAAGGAAATAAAATAAGAAGAAAATATTGAAAAATTTTGAGAAAATAAAATTTATAAAAGCAAGACTTCCTGGAGGAGTTGTTAATGTTTTCGATTTTTTTGTATTTGTGTTAATGAAAGAGATATATTTTTTTTTTAATGTTGGGGAATACTGTTCTAGTTTATAGTTGAGAAAGAATTTTTTGTAAGAATATGACAGATTGACTTGTGTCCATAAGAAGGTGAATAGAGATGTTGTGGTATCACATTTTTAATTATTGAATATAGCAATAACATAAACATATATAAAAAAATATATCTGTTATATTCTCATATGCTGTACATTGTTGAGTACATCTGTACAAGTGTACATGTATATTATAACAATATATAATGGTGCACATGTTGATTCGATATTTGTCACTGTATCTAATAGAGAAATTGATTATAATAGGATATTCATAAGGAGAGCCGAGAATTAATCAATATCTAATAATAATCTCTATTATCCTCGACACATACCAACAAACAAAAGAGCATTCCAATTACCACTGATATATTTATTCTGTTATCAGGTAATTACAACGATAACAAAAAAGTGCATTGTATTCATTTATGTAAATTTTATTTTTAATACTGGAATTAAAATAAGTTAATAGTTATATAATTTATTATTAGAATATATAAGTATTATTCTGTGTGAATTATGAATAAAATGTAATATATAAGTTTATTGATTTTTTTGTGTACAAAAGAAAGTTGTACTAGCTTGAAGAACCGCTCAAGCTAATTATATGCGTTATACATGTATTGAGAGAAAGAAATGAATTGTATGTATTGCAATTGTATTGTATAAGAAAATGTTGCTTGTGCAATATTCCTCTTACTGTAATATAATCATCTACTTGTCTGTATTTATCAATGTGATCTGTTATCAATGCAAGAGAGAAATAAAATCACTTACAAATGTGTGTAAAAAGAACTTTCAATGACACATGCATATATATATTCTCATATAGAGTCAAGTAAATGAAATTAAAAAATACACCTCTATTTGCATGATACTTCAAAAAGATTTCTGAATGTAAAAAGAAAAGAAACTTAAGTTTATTATGAGAGATATTTTATTTTATAATTAATTATTGTGCATTATAATCTATATATATATATA